ACCTTGTTTGTTATTGGTTAACCACTTTCTCTATCAACCTTATCACAAAAAATACCTTTGATCCGTTCAAACCCCACACCTTCTATATGTTGCATTGTTCATGAATTGACATATACCGATCCTTTGCATTTCACATTAATCCCAAAGCACGTTGATTGTTACTAACTCAGTGTGCATACTGTTCTTTCCTGACTTATGTTGCTTTGATGTGCTAGCCAGACTCCGCTTTGTGCAATTGGAAAGCTGATGGCAAATTTTGAAGTCATTTCTTACTTGTTTTGACCAAACAGACTTAAGAAGAGGAATTAAACAAGACAAAAGGAACTGAGTAAGGGACAATGGAAAGAGATGATACCTAACAAAAAACTTACAAAGTAGAACCCTATCAGATGTGGACAACAACTCTAATGACCATGACATGCACCTTTGGATTAAGTGGCCTAATCTGTCAAGCAAGTCTAATCTTCAAATCTCGTTATACCCCTTAACCGTGAAACTGAGCTTCAATGCTCTGATCATCCAATCTGATTCACGATCCTTATTCGACTTGTTGTGCTCGAAGGGTCTTCACCATCAAGCCTCTCTCATTTTGTTCTTTCTCTCAACTTACCATCACCTTATGGTGCCTGTAAAAGTTTTCACCGATAAGACTCTCTTATTTTTATTTTCCTTGTGTAGAACGGAGTGTTGCCCCTGATGAGAATCATACTTCTAACTCGCTTGACTTGGTACTACTCAAAAATTGATCGGAAGGTCTTTCTTTGGACCGTAATGCAGGCTTTTGGATAGGATTAGAAACAAAGGGTATCAAAAGCTCAAAAACAGCTTAAAAGGGCTCAAAATTACAACTTTTGGAATCAGATCTCTTACAACAACCACAACTTCTGCCCAGTTTTATTGCTTGGGGACTTTTGAATTTTATTTTGATGGGACCGAACCGTGAGGCTGCCTACGTATCCTTAAAATGAATCAGGTCGAACGTAGTTCATGACATAGGAATTGTTTTGTTTTTTTGGTAATTTTCTCCTTCTTTTTTTCTTTTTTTTCTTTTCTTTTCTTTTTTTTACTCTTTTCCCATTTTTCTTTCTCTTTTTTTAATTCTGTATCTATATTTCTAAACTCTGCTTCTGATTCCAAAAGAGGGATATGAAAGAAAATAAATAAGGCTAAAAGGGGTAACAAAGGATAAAGTGTTTAGATAGCAGAATAAAATGCCTTCGTCATTCCAATATTCAAAGCATGCCAAACACAAACAACATATTAAACAAACCAAAGAAATCATACATAATATCTTTTAACTGCATCAGAATTGATAACCATATCCACATATTTGCCTTCTACATCTGTTAAATACAAAGCACTATTGGACAACACTCTCGTTACCACGAACGGCCCCTGCCAATTTGGGGCAAACTTGCCTTTAGCTTCAACCTAATACGGCAGGATGCGTTTCAATAGTGTTTCTTTATGTTCTATCTGCCCTAGTTTCACACAATTCAGGCTTGAAGTGATCTCAAAATGCCTTTACTTATTTCCCTCAAATGTTCATATCATCTTCAAAATTGTTTCATTGCTTCATGACTAAACTAACATTTTAAGACCAGGTTGAGAATTACGCGTGCATATCATGTCACTAGAGTCAATAGGGAAAGAACTATAAAAGGAAAAAAGAACTAAACAAAAATGACTAGAAATAACAGAAAACAGAAAATTGCATTAGACAGATGGTGAAAGGGTTTGAACAACAAAACAAGCAAACTAAACTGGGGTTACAACCCTGGAACAAACCTAGACAACACTAAACGAGCTACTACAACTAAACAAACTAGGCAAAATAAAAGGATAGAAGGGTTTGAATCACAAAACAATATCTAAATTACAACCCTGAAAATAACCCGGACAACAGAAATGACAACAAAATAAACCACCAAAACTCCTCTCCGGCTAACCAAGAAATGGAGCGTCTTTTCAATTACCAAGCACGTCATCTTAGCCACTGAGTTCCGCATCAATATTACCAAGACCATTACCAACTTCAGTATCATTAACTTCAGTCAACAAGTTCCCAAGAGGATTCACATGCTCCCTGTCACTGTCATTGATCACAATTACCCCTTCTTGAATCATTCTTTCTACTTCCCTTTTCAAAGAACGACAATCTTCAATGCTATGCTCTTGGACATTAGAGTGGTACATGCATCGTACAGTAGGATCAAAGCCTTTTGCATATGGGTCTGGAGTATAGCCGAGGAGTGGCTCAATCAGGCCAGAATGCTTTAACTTTTTAAACAAGCTTGTGTAGGACTCCCCAATTGGCGTGAAACTATTTCTTTGCCTTTGTTTCCCTCCCTTCCCCTGTTTTCTTGGGTTGTTGGGTGCTCGAAAATGTTGTGAAGGCAAGAATGCATTATGCGGTGCTGGCGCTCTCCATAGGGAGTGACTTGGTGGTTGGACAGATGACCGGACATTATTCGGAGGATAATACTGAGGTGGATTATGTGGAGCTTGGGGATAGGTTTGGGGTTGGAGTTGAGGCTGGGTATATTGGTGAGGCGGACCCTTTGGTCCATGTCATGACTCTGAAACAACCATGGCAACATCATCGTGTTCCTTCTGACCCAGCAAGCTTCCTGTGTCGTTCTGAATTGCTTGTGTTGTGGCTTTTAAAGCAGAATAACTCATGATCTTGCTAGACTTCAGCCCATTTTCTACCTTTTCTCCCATTTTTACCACATCATTAAAAGGCCTACCCATAGCCCTGATCAAATACCCAAAGTAAGTTGGTTCTTGAGCTTGAAGAAAGTACTCGACCATCTCTTTTTCTTACATCGGAGGATTGACTCTGGTAGCTTGCTCTCTCCATCTGAGCCCGTATTCCTGAAAGCTTTCATTAGGCTTCTTTTCCATCTTGGCGAGGGACATACGATCCGGGACAATTTCTATATTATACTGAAAGTGCCTTGCAAAGGCCTGAACCATATCGTCCCTCGTGTACCACCTGTTAGCATCTTGGCGGGTGTACCACTCCAGAGCTGCCCCACTCAGACTCTGACTGAAATACGCCATCAATAATTTGTCTTTCCCACCGGTGCCTCTCATCTTACTGCAATAACCTCTCAAATGGGACGCGGGATCTCCGTGTCTGTCATACAAATCAAACTTTGGCATCTTAAACCCAACAGGCAATTGGACGTCAGGAAGCAAGCATAAGTCTTTGTAAGCCACGCACATCTGGCTCCCTATCCCTTGCATGTTTCTTAAAGACTGCTTTAAGATTTTCACCTTCCTGGATATCTCATCTTGCTCCACTATCTTAGCAGCCTTTTCAGTTTCACCGGGAGGCTCAAAATGAGGAATGTGAGAATATGGATCCGAGACTTTGAAAGTTGGTTCTGGAGCACAGTGTTGGGCATCGGGTACTTTGAACACAGTCTCGTTAGAGGATCGAGGAAAATAGCTGGTGGAGGAGCTGCAAGAGCATGAGTGGCCAAAGGAGCGGGATATAAGGTGATTTTAGCGGGTAGAGTGTGAAAAGGTCGTGGAGAGATATCGACAGCGGTGGGAATCTGGATTTGCAGGGTTTTCAGTGTAGTTAGTGGGGAATGAAGGTGGAGGATGCCCCCTGATCCAAGACTGATACATTTCTGCCATCTGTTGCTTCACCCTTTTGATCTCCTCTTTCAATTCAGACTCCGACTCCACAAAATCCCTTGACGGGTCAACAACTCTTGTGCCCAAGTTTTTGCTAGCCATGACTAACATGCCCTCTGACCTTGTGTTGTATAGACGAGTTACCTTAAGAACCACAAATCAACCACCTTTCTGCTATAATGAGGAGAACAAAGAGGAACAAAATGAAGTCATCATGTTAGCGTTAGGGCATTTAACAGCTAAAAATATCACATTTCGTGCAATGCACCTAGCCACAATTAACGGTTCAAGAATGACTTCGAGGGTCACAAGGTCACTTGGAATCATCCCAATTTGTCCATTTGAATCTTCTATTTTCTTTTCTTTTCTTTTCTTTTCTCGCACTTCTTAGCTCGCTCATTTTCCTTCCTTTTTTTTCTTTCTGATTATCGCTCTTTTCTTCCCTCTCATTTCTGACATCCCATGATTTCATCTCTTTTTTTTTCTTTTCTTTTTGTTTGTTTTTTTTTATTTTTTTATTTAATAATAATAAAAAATGATTCGATCGAACCCTACGTAGGTTGTCTACGTACCATGACGCCGCATGAATCAGATCTTTGCGTAGTTCGGAAAGATCGGGAATAAAGAAAACAAACCAACGTTCTCTTTTTCTTTTTCTCTTTTTTCTTCTTTTTTTTCCTTAATGACTATTCTGATGAGAAAAGAGAAATAAAAGAAACAAATCTCTTTTTTGAATTTCTAGACTTAATGTTCTATAACTTATTCTAAACTCAAGCTTAACATGCATGTTTTATTTCTTTTGAATCAAATACTCTATGGAAAATTATTAAGGAAAAAAAAACATATAAGAGAAAAATATTTTTTTTTTTGATTCTTTTCTTTTAGAAGGAAATCTAAAGAATAAACCAAAGAAAAATATTTTGAATTTTCATTTGATATCTCTGAAGAAAGATTTTAAAACGAGAAATAAACAAGATAAAAAATATTTTTGGATTTCAGTTTTTGATTACCTAAGGAAGAAACTTTAAAGATAAACAAAAGATAAAGTATATTTTTTTCTTCTATGTACAATATCCTAAAGTTCCAATGAAAATAAAAAGAATTTTTTTTCATTTCTCATTAATTTCCCAAAGAAGCACCTCAAGAGAAAATCTTTTTCGATTTTTGGAACTAAAATCTTAAAGAAAACTTTTAAAGAGGTACTAAAAGAAAATTCTCTTTTTTAAAATTTTTAGTCTTAATGTACTAAAAGGAAATGTAACAACAATTTTTATTTTGTGTTCTAGATATTAATTTCCTAAAGGAAAACCACCTTAAAAGAATTAGTATTCTAAAGAAAACTTCTAACAGAAATGTAAAATGCGAAACCTCCTTTTTTTGGATTTTTGAGTTACAGCACACTTTTTTAAATATAAAGTAGAAACTACAATAACAAAAGACTCGACATTACTGTACAAAACTAGAAAATAAAAGACGACATAAAATGAAGAATAGACTCAAAACATAAAAAATAAAGCAAATCTCCTTAATCAACTCTTGAATGAGCGATTCTGACTGGATGGTCACGGGGTGTCTGTCATGCTCAAACTCCAGTAAGTAGATCCACACCTGTATGAAAAAAAAAACTCAAACCAACACTAGGTGAGACAATAACACTCCTTATTGGAAGCATGCAATACATGATTGAGGCTATTTTTGCAAAATGGCTTATGTGACAAAAGATGGCTAGAAATGCAAAATTTGGCTAAGACCCTGCAAAGCCAAGAACCTAAGATTTACTAGGAAGACCGGACCCTATGTAAGTTGCCTACGTATCACGCCCCGAAAGACGAGAATCAGGTATGTGTAGTTCGGGCAGATTGGATACGGGCAAGAATTATATTAAAAAAAACTAATTTAGAGAAAACATATTTTTTTGTCTTTTATTTTGAAAAATGATGAAACATGTAAAATCTTTTTGTATTTTCTTTTTCCTCTTTTTTTTTTGGTTTTCGGAAAATGATAAAAAGTGCAAAATCTTTTTTTTTTTTGAATTTTTTTTGGGTCTTTTTCTTAACAAAAATGTGACAGAAAATATAACAGGGCCCTACTTGCTTTAGTTTCATACTTCACCCTCTTTTCTTTCTCATTTGCCCTCAAACCTCATTGGTCCGCCAAATGAGCCCTTTTACCCTTGAAAATTTGCAACATGTAGCACATAAGATGCAACAGGGTAGCCTTTTATTTTTTGGGTACACTTGTCCTAGACAAACCCAACCCCTGTGTTGAGTCCCCAAAGTCAGATGCACGTGATGCAAACAAGCGTTCCTACTAGGGATTTGGTATGAGGCTGTGTTATTCTAGGTTTAAAAACCTGGGTTTATTTGTTCTAGACCTGGCTTACCCGAGCGGACAGCTCGAGCCGAGGGGGGCAGCCTACCAGGAATACAGAAGCTTCACCGGCTTTGCAACTTGTCCGAACCTCATTCTAAAATTGAAATGACTCTAACAGAAGAGAAGTCACACGAAGTGTACACTTCCCAGATGATTTAGAAGACTCAGATAGAAGAGGGTTTCGTAACAATTTATATATAGTTCAACAATATCAAAGCGGTAAAAAGTAACATTTAGCACATTAGGCTCAAGCATGTAAATAAAACCAGATAATAAATAAAGCCAACTATAAAAATTAATCTAAGCTCGAATTTTATACTCTAAACCAGAGGTTCTGGGTTCTTGTCCCCAGCAGAGTCGCCAAAGCTGTCACACCTCCTTTTTACTACACCAGAGAGGGTATAAGGGAGTTTTTCCAATTTAAGTGACAATCGAAATAGGATTATTTATTTAAAATTCAGAGTCGTCACTTGGGATGATTTATGGTGTCCCAAGTCACCGGTTTAAAATCCCGAATCGAGGAAAGATTGACTCTAATTATGGTCCGCGAACACAGAAATCCGGGTAAGGAATTTTGTTAACCCGGGAGAAGGTGTTAGGCATTCCCGGGTTATGTGGTTTTAGCACGGTCGCTCAAATGTTATTATTGGCCTATTATATGATTTTAAAACATTTTTAAACCTATGTGCATTTTTAACTTTAAAACTGCTTTTATTTATTTAAAGAATTGATTCAAGGTTATTTAAAACACATCGCAAGCCACGCTACATGAAATGCACCCGTAGTTCCCGACACATTCTATTTAACCTTGTTGGAAATTAAGACCGGGTCATATGAAATGCACCCCCGAATTTAAGAAATTAATTTTAAATAGCGCGCCTAAAGCAACAACGCACTTTCAAGTTTGCGAGGGCCATGGAAAATTCAATTAATGATAAACCTCGATTTCTAAAGAGTTATCATTAATTATCTGAGGGCCATGGGTTATCGATATTATTAATTCAAATTAACTATCGAAAGTTCACTGCCTACTAAACTTGTTTCCACGCCAATTAAACCAAACAACAAGTTGTCCAATTTAACAAACCTTTCTTAAACATTATAAAATGGTTTAAGCACTCGAGTACTCCAATTACCAATTATCCCAGAAAACTAACTCAATGGCTATATCCAAACAAATAGCACAGAGACAAACTTCATGAATTTCACAATAGAAAAGCCTGTGTCCAGCATGGCAGTAAATCAAACAAAAATGGAAAGAATAAACCTCCAACCAAGTTACTTTACTTTTACATATATATATTTATCAAATAGCCATTCATACTCCTATCACGTCCTTTTATATCCATGCCATACAGTAGCTTTATTGATCCAAAAAAGTAAGGTATAAACATGTACTGATCAAATATAAATTAAGGCCGAGTTAAATCAGAAACCATGGCTCTTGAAGTATTATGTTGGAAATTATTGAGTTTCAAACAAATTTGCCATTTTAGAAAAGGCCAAATAAGCAAAATCTAGGTAATAGACCCAATTCTCTTGTAGCATATACCCACACAAAAATCGACCAAATCAGATCCCATAACCCACTAGCAGTAGACCCAAATCTCTTTTCACTATTCAGCTTAAACAAACAAAAATATCATATTTCACTCTACCAATGAAACTAGACAAGCTTAATGCTAATAAATAATTAATCTCAATAAATAAATAACTGAAACATGACAAAGCTCATAAGAGCTCAACAGATGACGGGAAGATTCAAACAACATTGCTAACAAAAACTTCTATATTTGAAAGATGAGTGCAAAAAAGTAATAGGTAATTAACGAACCTTTAGAAGCCTTTTCAAAAATGAACTTGGGTTTACACTTTCCTTAGTCACGACCAACTGAGAACTTCCATGAAACCTCAAAATCTCGTCGGAACTCAACTACACCATCGTCATCCTCAACTCAAACCCCTCTTTTTCAAACAACTAAGACCGAAACTAGCTGGGATTTGAATCACCTTGCATTTCGATGCGAGTGCTGGTTTTAGGGAGGATGAACAGTGGATCTCGGAACCGTAAATGCTGGTTTGTATAGCCGATGGTCTGGTTTTGTTGATTTTCAAGTGGGTTTAAGGTGGGAGAAGAGGATTTGGGAGGGGAACGTGCTGATGTTGTAGTGAAGAGGAAAGAATTGTTGGGATTTTCCTCTTTTTCTTAGATCCCCAATTTTCTTGCTCGCCTCCTCCTAACTCTGCCCGTTTCTTCTTTTTGTTCATAAGATCAAGACCCTTTTTTTTGTGTTCGCCCCCATTTGCTGATTAGGCGTTACCCCTATTATATAGGTTTAGGTCTAAATGTGTATTTTTGTGCTAATTGCTCTTAGGTCCTTAGGGTCTTTTTATTTATTTTTTGCTCCAAAGAAGAGTCTAGAAGGGTCCATAGGGTTAGCTTAATGGGTATTGGACTTAATGCGCTTGGGAATTATGGGTTAGGTCCAAAATTAGACCTAAAAATGGGTTGCTCAAGCCCAAGTTTTATCCTTTCCCTGCAAACGAGATTAAAATACGACCCCATTTATTAATTAGTCCTACTTAAATAAAATAACTATTAAAATAAGACTGACCGTTGAAATAAAATTATTTTTTGGTATTTTTTTTAAGATTAAAAATGACAACAAAACATTAATGATACAATTTTTTTTGTAATTTTCATTTTTCTTGCAATAAAATAAAGTAAAAGAGTTAAAACTAGTTGAAATAGCTATATTAGGCCTAAATTAAATATTTAGGTGCTAAAATATGAAAAATCATAGGGAGGGTCAAAAAACACATGTCTACAGGAATGTGATCAGAATGAGTTTTGGAGGTTCAGAGTAGATTTAAGCTTGAATTGGCGAAATCGAATTTTTGGCGATTTTTGGTAGATAGGTGAGATTTTGATGTATGGGTCGGAATGGAATTCTGAGAGTTTCAGTAGTTCCGTAGTGTCATTTGGGACGTGTGTGCAAAATTTCAGGTCATTCGAACGTGGTTTAGTGGGGTTTTGATCAAAAGCGAAATTTAGAAGTTTTTGGAAACTTAGGCTTGAATCTGGTGTGTTTTGGTTGATTTGATGTTGTTTGAGGTGTTTTGAAGATTGGTACAAGTTTGAATAAGGTTTTGGAATATGTTGGTGCTTTTGGTTGAGGTCCCGTGGACCTCGGGTGATTTCGGATGGTTGACAGGGAGTTTGAGGAATTGTTGCAGCTGCAAATTGGTTTTGTTGCTTCTGGTATTTCCGCACCTGCGGGAAAAAGGTCACAGAAGTGAAAAGGGGCTTGAAGAGCAGGGACCGCAAAAACGGTTAGGAGGACCGCAGATGCGGACAATGGGGAGTTAAGTGATTTCCGCAGAAGCGGATGAAGAACCACAAATGTGGTACCGCAGTAGCGGTAAATAGGGCCGCAGATGCGAAAATGCCTGGGCAGAAGGTATAAATGGTGTCCTTCGCAATTTTTAGCTATTTTCACTATTTCTAATTCGGCTTGGGAGCTTTTTGGATGATTTTGAAAAGGGATTTCAAGGGAACTTCATTGAGGTAAGGAATTTGGACCAAAAACTCATTTCTATGCTATTATTTTACGGATTAGAGCTATAATTAATGGAATTTAAAGTTAAAATTGGGGAAACTAGGGCTTGGAAACTTAGACCTTTGCTTGAGGATTTGAGGGACCTATTGTGGTCGGATTTTGGTACTTTTGATATGTATGAACGCGTAGGGAGATAAGGAATCTATTAATGTAAAAATTATTGAATTCCAAGATGTGGGCTCGGGGATCGGGTTTGGCCAATTTCGGGATTTTTGGTATAATTTGATTATTTTCGTTTGGGCTTCGTTCCCTTAGCATATTTTGACGTCGTGATTCTGATTTTGGATAGATTCGACGCGAGTTGAGGCCGATTCGAGGGTCAAAGGTGTCGCAAAGTAGTATTTTCACCGGTTTGAGGTAAGTAACCATAGAAAATCTGGAACTGAGGGTACAAACCCCGGTATTTGACTTGTTTTGATAAATGAGGTGACGCACTTGGTCTGTCCCGTAGTGACTACTAAACCACATATTTGATTTGGAATCTTCTATTTTTTCGTACTTTAGTCATTTATACTGTATTATGGGTTGTATGTCATGTTTGGGGCCTTGTGCCGACCTGTTGAGACACTTAGGGGCATTTTTACTGTTTTTCCTCACTTTTCTTATTGAAAGCATATCCTCAGTCATGTTTTACCTATTTAAATGTTTAAAACTGGTTTTATCACTCCACTTCTAAATGTGAGGACTGTTCGGACTGAGTTCCCTAATTTCTACTGTTGTGCCCGAGAGGATGTGAGGTTAATGACTGAAAGAGGTTGAGAACCTAATGGTAAGGATATTTATATATGTGTGAGCTATGGATCGGGCTGCACGCCGCAGCGATACTTATATGGATTGGGTTGCACGCTGCAGCGATATATATATTGGATCGGGATGCACGCCGCAGCGATATATGTATTGGATCGGGCTGCGCGCCGCAGCGATATGACGCTTGGGCTGTAGGAGCCCCTTCGGAGTCTGTACACCCCCAGTGAGCGTAGTCGACTATAAATTACGGATCGGGCTTCACGCTGCAGCGGTTATTATGATTTCTGTTATTATGAGATATTAATGAGCCTGAGTGCTGAGAGTGAGTACTGAGTGACGAGTGTGAGTCACAAGTGACTGAAAGGCTGTCGAGAGGCCACATTCTGAGTGATACCTTGCCTGAGGGGCCCAGTTATGATATTTTCACTTATTTCACTCTTTTTTTAAAAACAAGCTTCTGTTGGAAAAATTGCTAAGTATATGATTTCAAGTGTTTAAATTGAAGTTGATAATTTTACGATGAAACTGGTTTTAAACTGTGAAATGGATTTGTTATCCTATTGTTTATTCAGTTATATGATTTTTAACTACTCGTCACTGCTTTCAGGCCTTATTTACTCTAGTTACTTACTGAGTTGGCGTACTCACGTTACTTCCTACACCTTATGTGCAGATCCAGGTGCCCAAGTGGCAGAGTGAGGGTCCTCAGCTGATCCAGAGGTTGCCGGAGATTTCAAGGTAGTTGCATGGCATCCCCAGCGCTGTTTTCTCCTTCTTATCTTGTTCTTTTCCGCATTTTTCTAGACTTTTGTTTTAACAGACAGTCAGTTATGTAGTAGAAGCTCTAGACTCGTGACACCAGATATTTGGAGCTGTGTAGTTTTCATGTTTATTTGACTTCCGCATATGTAATTGTGTTTTAAACGCTTATTATGAAAATTTGGTATTTAAACATGTGTTAGAAAATGGTTTTATAAAAGGAATTTGTTATAGTTAATGGTTTGAGTTGGCTTGCCTAGTAATGTGATAGGCGTCATCACGACCGGGTATTTAAGGTCGTGACACTATTTTAGTTAAATACAAATATAATATAATACGNGCTTGAAAAATGTTTTATCACACCTAGTATGTTACCGTGGGGAGCACTTGTTTTGTTTGTAAGGAAGAAAGATGGTTACTTAGTAATGTGTAATGTAAATCATCTACGTATTGTGCTCAGAGTTCTACAAGAAGGGAAGTTGTATGCAAAATTTACTAAATATGTATTTTGGTTGAACTCTGTATCTTTTCTTGGGCATATTATCTCGGGTAAAGACATCCGAGTGGATACATAAGAGACTGAGGCAGTAAAGACTTTTCCTAGACCCACAACACCGATGAAGGTTCGTAGCTTCTCCGTTTGGCAAGTTATTACAAGAAACTTGTAACAAAATTTCTTCTCTTCTAATAACCTTTGACCAAAGTGGTATGTGGTGTCTTACTTGATATTCCGGAATAACATAAGGAAATCTATGGTGCAAGCAGGTTGAAGAAAGGTTCCAAATAAGTATAAATAGATATGTGTAAGTTGCAAGCTAAAGTATGGTAGAGCGACAAGGTTCTAGGAAGATGGGAGGAATGATAAGATAAGATGAGTAAAAAGGTAACAAGAATGGATAAGTCCTTGGGAATAAGTTCATAAGAGACATGGTGGTTTCTCTAAGTTATAGAAGGCTCAGTATAGCCCGAATTATTTCAAAGTAGTCTAAGGCTAGTAACGTTTAGAATAGATGAGATGCTACGCTCATAGTGGGATAAGGGCATAGTTGTGATGGATAAAGGATGAAGTTTGGGCCTTCGAAGAGGGGAATTTCCTGAATTGTAAAATATTAGGATACCCATGTAAGTTAACTCACAAGGGAACTAAGTTTCAATGGACCAATTCTTGCGAACGAAGTTTCCAGGCATTGAAGGACAGATTAACTTCAGCACCGGTTCTACCACTCCTAGAAGGGACCGATGGTTATGTTATCTATTGCGATGCTTCAGGCATTAGATTGGGTCATGCGCTGATGCAGTATGGTAAGGTTTTAGCTTATGCTTCTAGAAAACTAAGAAAACACGAGAAGAACTACCCGACCCACGATTTAGAGTTAGCCTTGGTAATTCATGCACTAAAGATGTGGAGGCACTACTTGTACGACATTCATGTTAATATCTATACGAATCATAAGAGCCTCCAGTATATCTTCAAGAAAAAGGAATCGAATTTATTTTAAAGAAGATGGTTGGAGCTACTTAAATATTATGATGCTAATATTTCATGCCATCGGGGAAAACGAAAATAGTAGCCGGCACCCTCAGCCGTAGATCTATGGGTAGCCTGTCATATTTATAGCCCGAAAAGTGGAGAATAGCCCGTGAGGTTCACCAGCTAGCTAGTCTTGGAGTTCGGTTACTAGACTCAGGTCATATTGGAATTTTGATTCAGGATACAACAACAAACTCGTTAGTAACAGAAGTAAAGGAATGCTAGTACGAGGATACTGTGTTAGTTCATTATGGGGATACCACCCTTCAGAATGAGAAGACACCATTGAAATTATAGAAGATGGGGTCTTCCGATATCGAGGACGATTATGTGTGCCTAATGGTGCAGGGACGCATCGGCATGTTATGGGAGAAACTCACTATTTTCGTTATTCTATCCATCTAGGAGCAATAAAGATGTATCATGATATCAGGGAAGTATATTGGGGGGACGGAATGAAAAAGGATATAGAAGAGTTTGTTGCTCTATGTCCTAACTATCAGCAGGTTAAGATTGAGCATCAAAATTGGGTGGATTATTGCAGGCTATGGAGATTCCGGCTTGGAAATGGGAAATAATCAATATGGATTTCATGATAGGCTTACAAAGTCAGCCCATTTTCTGCCCGTTAGAACTACATATTCCT